TGGTATCACTGGGTTGAAGTATGTTACCCTGTAGAGGAGGGCGGCTTAGGGGTGTGTTCTTTTGCTGACTTAGCTGAGGCTTGTGAGGTGAAGCTTTAGTGAAATTTTCGTGCTCAACAGTCACTTTGGTCCACTTTTATGAGGGTCAAGTATTGTAAGTCCACCCATCCTGGGTTGATTGAATTTCTTTACCCAACTTCACCTCTGTGGAGGCGATTGTTAGTTGAGGGATTACCCATTGGCTTTAGTGTGTCCAGGGGCAATTCCTGGGATTCCTGTTTCTGCTTATTGGGCGGGTCAGCAGTGGGACAAAGACCGATTGTTGGGGGTTTTGCCTTCTTCAGTTGTTGACCAGATTGTGCAGATTTCGATTCCAGATCAAGGGGGTGATCAGATGAGGTGGAGTTTATCTTTGGATGGGGATTTTTCCTTGAGGACTGCTTGGGCTGATATTCGGAGTGTTACTCCAGTTCGGGCTGGGTTTTCTTGTGTTTGGCAGAGGCATATTCCGACTCAGGTATCTTTCTTTATGTGGTGATTGTTTCATGATTTTTTGGCCACAGATGATGGCTTAGAGAGACAGGGTTTTCATGTAGTAGCCCGATGTGTGTGTGGTAGGGCTGTTGAGACTCTTAGGCACCTTTTTTTGGGTTGTCCGCTTACAGTTCAAGTGTGGGGTCACTTTTATCGGATGTTTAGGATCAAATCTTAGTTGTTTCAGTCTCTTTTTGCTTTAATGCTTCATTGGCGGCATTGTGCTTCTTTCGCAGGTCACGTGTAGGTACTGCTACCATGCTTTATTCTGTGGCACCTACGGAAGACACGTAATGTTTATAGGTTCGTTGATTGGGCTTGCTTTTGGGTTTGCTCCGAGTCAGTTGCGTCGGGATGAGTCGGTTGAGTTTGTGGGTTCTCTTAGGATCTTGGTTCCTTAATCTCGGCCTCTTCGCTTGGTTGCTTGGACTCGTCCTGTACCAGGTTGCCTGAAGATCAGTGTTGACGACTGTTCTAAAGGCAATCCGGGGCTGTCTGCGGCAAGGGGTGTTATTCGGGACCACCAGGGCCAAGTTCTCAGGGCTTTTGGCTTATTTCTGGGGCATCAACCTATTCTGTATGCGGAGATGCAAGCTATTTGTGCTGGTTGGAGTTGGCCGCAGATTTGGGAGTTTCAGAGTTAGTAATGGAATCAAATTCAACTACAGTGGCTTCTTGGGTTTATTCTCAGGGTACTGGATACTGGGTTTATGCTTACCTACTTACCGTTTACGGTGGATACCTACTTATATAAATAGTACTAATTGAGGATGGGGTGGTGAGGGGTGCAAATCATTCGGATCACACATATTGTAAAACTAAGCTATTGGAGCTCAAATCTATATGAGATCAAGTGAAAACTCACTTGAGCTCTCTCTTGAGATAAACAACTTAAGCCACAATCTTGATTAAAACTGCCACACATTCAAATAACCACACATCTATATAAAATAATATTCGTAACATATTCGAAAAACAGAGTTGACTTGCCCACTTACTGATACACCCAATATTTACTCCAAAAGCACATGTGAGACTGGCTCACAAAGTTGGAATATTGGACAAATGACAATTTTAAGAAGTTTTGTGCATTTCTCTCTCCAATTTTTCAAAAAAGTGTACCCTTTCAATAAAATGACGTACTACCCACCACTCAATCTGTCTATACGTTAGACGGCACCATCAAAATTCTAAACTTATTTCAACCACTTCATCACCTCTCTCTCTCTCCTCTAATCTAATGAACTCTCATGATAGTACGAGGATATTTTTTTTTCTCCACTCACTCGACTACAAACTTGGTATACTCTCTTCTTGCAATCAACATTTGTACATTTCTAGAAATTCTCCTATTGAAGATGTCAATCAAGCGGTGTTCAAATTGTATAATTTTAAATTCACTTGGATACTTGTTAATTCTAATCGGATCAATTTCAGTAAGCGTGTCATGTTTATAAACACCCAGAGTTCCTAATCTGAAAATTTACTATATATAAATGTTAACTAAACCAATAATAAATAAATAAATATAAATATATATATATATATATATTGACTCTGCCACAATTCATATAATGGCATATTAATAATTGAAAAAAAAATGAAATAAGGCAATTTACTTGTTGTTGACACTATATGACTGGTTTATTACTCTCCTGAACAGTTGCAATTATTTTTAAGTTGGTATCAAATAAAAATTAATCTTAACACATTAATTTCAGGAGAAGTCTAAGGTGCGGAACTTTTTGCCGTTACAAATGTTGTGGGTTATTTTTAACAATTTTTTAGGCATGTTTATAAGTTTTATGGCAACTTGTGATCAATTCTAAAATTGTTAGAATCGATCGCAATAATTTTTTATTTTTTTTTTGGTACACAAAATGAGTATGCAGATTGGTCACTGATTAACCATCAAAAGTGTTATTTTATTATATTTAATAATTATTTTATTAAATATTATTTATGATTAAATGTGTTATATTTCTTGATTTTCTAATTTCATATTTTTTCTAGTTGTTTGATTTATTTTACAAGTAATTTAATTGATTTAAAATAATAATGGATAAAGCAAATGAAACAAACATTAGAGTAAGAATCACCGCTGATAAGGATTGAAAAATCAAAATTAAGAGATGACAATTTGAAGCTAATATAGCAATTTAATCCTTATGAGAGTCTAAGTTAATAGAAAACTCATTGAAAGTTGAATTATAAAAGTATTCTAGAAAATAAAGTTTTGACATATTTTTAATATTTTAGTCATAACTTTTTACTCTAATATTCGATTGACCTACTTTTTGCAGGGTTAAAAAAAGATATTTCATAAAAATTTCATAAATCGGGCTCTTCCTATGCGAAAATTGAGTTCAAAATCTAGACAGGTATGATACTCGTGTCCTCAAGATTTGATGCACGAGATTTGACTTAAAAAGACTTTTTTTTAAAAGGAATTTGTTCTAAACTAACCTTATATCTCTTACCTACATCCAGGCTTTATTTTATTATAAATAAAGCCCCTCACTTATTGAGAGATTATTCTTTTTCTAGCATTTGCCTTTTTGAAGTCAATGGTTCAAATCTCCCTTCCCCCTCTCAAAAAAAAAAATTATGCTTGCTAAAAGTCCAACTAAAGTTGGGATAGATACTTTCAATGAAGTATAGTATTATTTTTGATTTAATGTTCTTTTTAATGCATGATTTATTCTTTTAATTTAATTTTTGTTTTTTAATAAAAAATTTACTCTATATAATTTCTTGATTCATTGTGTCATGTATATCGAATACTTGAGATTTTATGCTTAAGTCAATTAAATAAAATAGTTAATTTCTTATTTGTTAGAAAACTTGAATTGTTGTAGACACCGAGTACGGTGAATACTTGTAATTTACAAATAAATTTCTAAATCTATTCAACTAAATTATTAATTATACTTTTAATGCTTTCATATTATTACTACTAAACATTTCGATTGAAATTACTCATAAACTGATTCTCAATTAAATTCAAAAATTGAATTATTATTAATTACTGTGTGAAATTAAAAAAATATTTCTAATACTTTAGTATTTCAATTTTCTGCTTTTAAGCAAACAATTTTTGTTTTCTCTACCACAGTTTGAAAGTAATTTTGTTTTATTTTTCCTTCGTGGTCTAAGTTTTTCCAATTTTTTATGGTTCGACCTCAAACTTCTGAGTATTATATTACTTCGCGACAATATGTACTTAGGTGATCAATTATAAAGTTGTAGTAGTCACTCTACATATCCGTTAAGGAGAATTATCCCTCATCACCACACAGCTATCTGCAGGGAATCCTACCGCACCTACGTTGGGATCGAAGCTAAGGCCCCACCATGTGCTCTAGGCGCTGAAAAATAGGTTTAGCCTCAACAGACTGTCGTAGTTATAGAGACTTGAATCCAAGTATTGAGCGAGGAAATCCAAGTTCTTATCCACTAGACCAACCGCTCATTAGTGATAGCAATAATTTTAGGATCAGTAGAAAGGTACACTAAAAATTACAACTTAACTTAAAAACATTGTAAATCAAACTTTAAAATTGTAACTTGACCCAAAAAATTATAAGTTTTTTGTTTTAAATAAATAATAAAACTTTTATCAAAACCCACAATTATAAAACTTAAAGATATGATACCAAATTTTTTTTAATACCGTACTCTTGTTCTGAATTTCATATCAAGTTCTCTTTATGGTAAACACATCATTTTTTTTTCAACGGTAAAAAGTATTCGATTCAATTTACACGTATTTTGATTAATTTTTTTTTTTGGTCTGATCAAAAGTAGGGTATTTACGCCAAAATTAAAGTATTCATGAGAGAGAAATATCTCATAACATGACCCTAAGAAATTGTTAAAATTTAAACTCATGACATTTAAATTTACAAGTTCATTTTTATTATTATTTGAGCTACTTTTAAGGTGAAAGATATCATTTTTGACGTGGGTGTGTGAATTACTTTGATTGTTTTCCCAAAGTAGAAAGCGAGTATAAGTTTGTCTGATAACCGCGCGAGTAAAGACAATACACTCCATAATGGAATTAACAAATGAGATAACTATGTCATTTTGGGTGCAAACTGCACAGAACAATATCTCCTCCATGTTCCCTTGACAAAGAAGTTCCATCTTCCCCTAAAACCACTCTCTATAAATCTCTCTCTCTCTCTCTCTCTCTCTCTCTCTCTCTCTCTCTCGCACACATCCTCCATTGCAGCTCATATAAGTAAGCTCCCTATCTATTCTCCTTTATTCTTTTCTTGTCTTTTTTTCATTCTTTATCCTATGATTTCTTATTTGATCTTTGTTAGGTCTAAGGCTTCCATTTCTTCCATATTATTTTTCATAAATTTATGTGATCTTTCAAGGCTTTCGTGATCTTTGTTCGCAGATCTAGCAGATAAAACCAGTGACAAAACCCTAAGATCAGTACCAAAGAAGAGGAGATGGGGAGAGGAAAGATAGTGATCCGACGGATCGACAATTCGACAAGCCGGCAAGTAACTTTCTGCAAGAGAAGAAACGGATTGCTGAAGAAGGCTGAGGAGCTATCAATTCTTTGTGATGCTGAAGTTGGTCTCATAATCTTCTCCAGCACTGGGAGACTCCATGAGTTTTCAAGCACTAGGTCAGAAGAATTTCCACTCTCTCTCTCTCTCTAAACTCTAAATCGAAATATGTCCTTTAGTTTTCTTCCTTTCATAGATTTTTCTGTATTTACCAACATAAATTATATATATATGCAGTTCACAAACTTCAAAATGGCTTAATAATTGAAGACCTAATTCCTCTTAAAAGGGATGCAATAATGTTATCATAATCTCTCTCTCTCTCTCTCTCTCTCTCTCTCTCTCTCTATACGCGACAGCAATGAAGAAAGATAATGTTGTTTCTTTTGTATTAGCATGAAAGCTGTAATCGAACGATATAACCAACAGCAAGAGGAGCATCAATTGTTTAGTCCTACTTCCGAGGTCAAGGTAATTCTTCAAAAACTCCTCCCATTTTCCTCTACTTTCATGTATCAGAAACACAAAACAAAAGCGACTTACCGAAAATAATTACTAAAGAAAAACGATTTCCCTTTTATATTGCAACAAAAATTATGGTTCTTAGCAGTAATTGTGTGTGTGTGTGGGGGGGGGGGGGGGGAG